GTCAGTATTTGGAGTCACAAGTTTTTTCTGGGAGGGTTCTTCTCTGAAGCATCCAGGGTAGTTGTGTTCTCTCTTATTTCTTCTTTCTTCTTTTTGCAGTGCTGAGGATGGAAACTAGGGTCCCAAGCTCTTGGGCAGGATCCTCCTGCCCCAGCCTTCTGAGTAGCTGGATTATAGAGGAGCACCTGGCTTTGGAGTCTTTTCGGTTGTGTTACAGTCTACCACTGAGCTACACCCCAGCCTCCCTAGTAGCTGGGATTACAGGCATGTGCCATTGCACCTGGCTAGAAAGTAGGATTGACCAAGTCTTTCAATCAAGAGCAAAATTTGGAGAGTTAGGTGTGCTGTGACCTGAGAGGGGCTGTCACTCTGGGAAGCTGCTGACCAGACCAGCGATGAGGGAGCCCTACGTGACTGTGCTGGGGAGCAGTGGGGAAAGAGACCCAGGGGTATCATTTGCATAATTTTTGCTTTTGTATAAATTTGCATGTTCTCTCCTGAAAGGCCAAAGCCCAGGAAGGGAATATTCACTGAGGTTTAGGTCTCCTTACAGCAAAAATTCCAGTGTCTGGTAGTTTAGCAAGTGTGCTTCATCCTCCTCCCCACACCAGCCCACAAGCTTTCAGACCATGCAGTATTCTACCCAGAGAAATATGTTGGTTGAAATCACTTAAGTTCCATATTTTGTACATATTGTTCATTCATTCACTCAGACATGCCTGCCTTTAGTCAAAGCTGTTTGAATGCCTACTTGGTGCCAGGCCCTCATGCCAGCACATGTCATAGAGGTGAAGGGGGCAGGGTTTCCCCACTTGGGAACCCGCAGTGGGAGGTGAGGAGAGGCAGTGGGACCAGATCTGAGGGAAGGTGGGGGGAGTGTCAGACAAGGCTCAGTTCTGTAAAAATATGCAACAGGGCTGAGGAAGGGCTGAAGGGACGGCTCTAAGGAGGGAGAGAGGATGTTGGAGCTCAAGCCTGTCTGCTTCTGTCCCCTCTCCATCCTGTGTGGTCAGGGCTCAGAGAGGTGCAGCGTTCTGAGGTCACCACCAGGGGTCAGCACCCCCTGCTCTACTATTGAGTTTATCATCTCTTCTGGTATTATACTCTGTTGAGGAGCCCTCCTTGGTCTCTCTGCCCTCTCCACAGCCCCATGGCCCTCTCTCTCATTTCCCTGAGCCCATCACTCTCTCCTTAAGGTCATTTTATCAACCCATCAATGAGGGACCAGGCAGCCTCCTGAACAGACACCTTGACGTCTCTCCTGACCTTGGGGAATCCCACAGCCTCCCTCACTTCCCCAGCTTCATGAGCAGCTGACTGGTGAGCAGAAAGTACCTTCTACTATCAGCCCTCTTCTCCTCCTGCTGCCATCCAGTTCAGGTTCTCTAGTTTGATCTCCAGGGGAAAATACCTGTATTCATGTGGTCACTTCTAAATGTTTTTTTACATGTGCCTACAATGTGCTTTTTGAAGCCAAAGTCATTTATGATCCCTCAGAACTAAGTCCTAAGAGCCTTCCCTCTCCCCTCACTCTGATGGAAATGTTTTCATTCCTGGAAACTTGATCCTTCTAGACCCGATCTTCTCCCCTTTTGCAATCTTTCATATACCTCCTACACCCCCACTTCTCTTCTACAAGTCCTACCTCACAGGGTCAGCTCCTTCCTCGCCATCTCTGTGACCCTGTCCTCATGCCCCTTCCTTCAGGAAGCCTTCCTTCTTTCCATTCCGGGCTGTTGAAGCAGACATGAGAGGATCCTGGCTCTGCCAGGTACCTGTTACCTTAACCTCTCTCATTCTGTTTCTTCATCTATAAAATGGGGCCAGTGATATACAGCTGTCAGATATACTGTGAAGTGAGGGGTACATGGAGTCAGCCCCCGATCCCTTCTCTCTGCAGCTGCCGTCCCCACAGCCTGGGGACCCAGCCTGCTGTTGGGAAGCTGCCTTTGTCTCTATTCCCTGGCTGATCTGCTTCCCCACTGCCCTTGGCCCAAGCTGAGGGGAGAGGACCAGGGAATCAGGGGCACAAAGCCACTCTGCTGGAGAGATGGGGCAGATGCAGGGCTCTGCAGGGACCTCAGACCAGAGCCCCATCTACAGGGCCATGTCCTCACCCCACACCAGACCTGGAGTGGAGTCCACTTTTCTCTCCTGGAATTTTTGGGGACCCTGTCTGGGATGGGGGAAGGGGTCCCCCAGAATCCTCTGAGGCCTTGAGGGGAGCAGAAGGCTGGTGGGAGGGGAGAGAGGGAGGCAGGGCAGGGGGAATACCGGCCACACAATATTATGAGTCCCTGCTCCTTTCCTCTCCACCCCCACCCCTCCACCAAACACGATCCCTGGGTTAATTTTTAGCATCACAGCTCGCACATTAGTCACTCCCTGTCATCCACCTACACGGCAGGAGGCTGCTGTGCGGGTGCCGTCATGCCCTCCACAGAGAGGTGGGATCTGGCTCCACCCTAGACCACTTCCCCCTCCCCTAGGTGTGCATGGGCAGCCAGGAACCCCCATCAGCCTGGGTCAGGGATCCCGACATCCCTCCCCAGGCCAGCTGCACAGCAGGGGTGGGGACAGGCTATGGGTGACAGGCTAGCAATCGCCTGGGAAGAAGGAAGCCAGGGAGGCCCCTGAGCCCCCACTCCAAGTAAGGTGCAAGGCTGTGCCAGGCAGCTGGTCTCCTGGCAGCCAGGGCCCTGGGAACAAAGGTGTGGGGCCTCTCCCCTGACCTGAGCCCAGAGCTGGTGTTTGTCCTCACTGCAGAGCAGCTGTGCAAACATGGAGCTTGGGGAAGCTCCATTTTCTTCACCAAATGTCTTGTCTTCTCAGGACAAGGGAGCATAGGGCAGACAGGTGCAGATGCCTGTCTGGAGCCACCACCCTGCCCCAGAGGGATTTCACAGGAGGGACCCACAGATGCCAGCTACAGATGGAGCACAGGGGGCCACCCCCTTGCAGGGCTGAGGTGGAGAGATGGTGGTTACACCTGAACGGGGTTGGCCTCAAGGCATTCACTCATTCAGTAGCGTTCACTGAGCACCTGCTATATGTAGACAAGCTCTGGGTTAGGCCCTGGGACTTTAAACAAACCTGGGGGTCCTGTCTCACCAGGCAAAAAACAGATAACAAAAGATGTGGTATAATTACAAATTGAAAGAAAGTACTATAAATAAAAAAGTAGGGTACACAAGATCATGAATAATGGGGACAGAGAATGATGTCAGATCAAATCAGGGAAACCTCTCTGAAGAGGTAATGTTAAGCTGAGACCTGATGATGAAGAATCATCTTGAAAAGAAGAGTGCTCTGGCAGCCAGCGCACGCCTTTAGTCTCAGCAGCTCAGGAGGCTGAGGCAGGAGGATTATGATGAGTTCAAAGCCAGCCTCAGCAAAAGGAAGGCGCTAAGCAACTCAGTGAGACCCTGTCTCTAAATAAAATACAAAATAGGGCCAGGGATGTGGCTCAGTGCTAAGGCACCCCTGGGTTCAATCCCTGAAACCCAATAAATAAATAAATGATACGGAAAGAGAACGTATTTGAAATTGAGGAAGAGGCAGAGACCAGATCCTGGAGAGTCTCATGCAGGGCATCCCAATATAGTTGCAGAGTCTGGGTACTGCACAAAGGTTGCCATTTGTCAAATGGTTAGGTCTGTGTGGCTGCTGTTAGCCAAGAGAACAGGATGGCTTTTGTAATCTGCTCAGAGAGATGTGTTATGGATAGGCCATGATAAAATGTTTGATTATTCTTTTATTTCAGGGGAAGCCATAATGGATTTTAGGCAGAGGGTTGTGATTTTTTTTTTTTTTAAACACTGCCCTGACTACTATATGGCGAAGGATGGAAGATAGAGAGAGGAAATAGAAGCAGCAAGGAACCCATTCAGGAGGCCAGCACTATGGGGCAGGAGGGAGAGTGTGGGGAGGTGGCCTAGCCAGGGGAGGGTCCACTCAGACCTCTCTTGAAACCACAACTGTCTGCTGGTTACTGTCAGGGAGGAGCACTGGAATTGGAGTCTTAAGCCCCAGGCCCAGTTCTACTGCTAGTTTGCTGTGTGACCCTAGGGCATCTCACTTGCCCTAGATTACCTCAAAGAAGGTGGTGATCACCTCTTGGAGATGTTTTGGCACACTATATTGAGGACCTACTGTGCTAGGATTGGGTAAGAATAAAGCAGTGACTCAGACAGAAACAGTCCTGGGCCCTGCTGTAAACGCGTGCAACCTATTAGGTGGGCAGGGCAGGCAAAATGCAGAACCTGTCAGAACTCAGGCAGTTTGGATGGCAGTGCTTACTGTGATGGAAAGAAAAGAGGGCTGTGTCAGAGGAGGGTGACTGCATGTTTGCTGAGGTGGGAAGGCAGAGCCCGCAACTGGAGGAGTCAGCCTTGGGAAGAGCCCGTGCAGAGGGAGGGGCCTGAAGCCAGGGACAACCAGCATCCAGTCCCAAAGCAGGGAGCAAGGGTCGGGAGCACAAGATAAGGAGGCAGGCAGAGGTCGGACACTGCAGCACAGGAGTTAGAATCTCCTTTTTGAAGTATGGCTTCCCATTGAGGAGCTCTAGAAAAATGGGGTGACCAGTAACTGGGCCAGAGACAGGCTGTTGGGTGGATATGGCAAAGTGCCCTGCTGATTTGGCTTTTGTCCCTACAGGGAGACCTGAAGGGCTGGAAAAGAAAAAGGGAAGCAAACATTCACATTGGGATTTAGGGATAGTGAAGGGTTTTAGACAAGGCTGTTGTGGGTACTCAGGGAGGGAGGCTTAAGATGCACTGTTCTGAAGAGGGTGTGGGGCTCCCATTCAGGCCCATACATGTAGGTTAAACCTCCCAGACTATTTCTCTGGCTTCAGGCTGCAAGAAAATGAGGTGTAAATATAGTGCGTGTGAGTGTATGTGTTTGGAGGGGGGTGCGCGATGAAGTCAGAGCTTGCCGAGCCCAGTCCTCCCCCTCAGGCAATCACCACACTGACACAGATGCAAAAAAACAGTCAATTTTATACAGTTTGTGTTTCAGAAGCAACATAGGCGAAATGGTGGAGCAGTCTGAGCAGTCCCCACCCCACCTGAACATGCCCAATCCTGTTCCCCAAGGGGCACAGAACCCAGGACCCCCTCCTGGCAGGATCCAACTTAGTTATAGGCCCTTGGGAGGGGCCAAGCCCTTAGGGGTCAAGCCAGAGGGAAGGGACCAGCACCTTGCCCCCTCAGGGCCCTCTGATCCGCTGGAATAGCGTGTGTGTAGGGTAGAGGAATGACCCACCCAGGGCCACTTCTCCCCAAGGCTAAGGGGGCTGGGAGCAAGTAAAGCTGAGGAGAGGGCTTCATGGGGCAGGGACCCCCTTCTAGGTGGAGGAGTTTTCCTGGCCACCCCACAAGGCACTACTGACCCAGACTGGAGGATAACACATCCATCTTTGGTCCCCAAACCTCTCCCGACCCTGAATGCTTGTTCTCCACCTGTCCTGACTCCTACTGTGGTTTACGGGAGAAGAGGCCTGGGCTCCCTTGCTTTGCAGAGGAAAGCAGAGAAACCATCAGGCTGGCCAGGGCTCGCAAGGACCCTCTCCCGCTGCTCTGGGCTCCTGGGGTCCTTTGGGCCCTGTGCTACCACCCCACTTTGAGCACTGGCTTTTACAAATGAATAAATAAATAAATACCTCCCCCACCTGCCCCCGCCCCTACAGCTGGCTCTCCTCCTCCTCCAGGGAGCGGTTGAGTCCGGGAATGAACTTGAGCAGTCGTCTGCGGAAGCTGCGGTACTTGGTTTTGCGCAGGCCAGGGCCACACAGGGCCTGCTCCCGAGCCTCAGTCCAGAGCGCGCCAGGCGCGCCCCTGCCGCCACCCCCGCTGGGGCCCGCGCACCGAACGCTAGCGCTGCGGCTCAGCGTGGCCCGCGGCCCGGGGCAGGTCACCAAGGTCGGCGCCTCTGCAGGGCTCGGGCCGGGGCCACGCGTTGGGGGCGGCGGGGACGGCAGCGCCCGGGACTCCGTGCCGGTGCCCCCAAAGAAGCAAGTGTGGTAGACAGCGTCTTCAGCGTCGCCCCTGGCCCGACGGGTGCCCCCGCGGGGACCCCCGGGCGCCGCAAGCAGAGGCCCGAAGGGCAGGGAGCCGGGGAGCAGGCCTGCACCGTAGAGGCAGGAGCGCACGGACTCCAAAGTGTCATAGATGCTTGGGTCTTTGACCACCAGGCCTGCCAGGACAGAAGACATGAGGGAAGCCCCTAAGGCCTAGGGTCAAAGCATACTTTGCTGGGGATGGGGCCAGGGGAGCAGGTAAGAGATCCAGTTCCTTCCTATTGACTATCTATGTGACTCTGGCGAGGCTCCACTGGGAACCCCAGCTTCCCATCTGTAAAACAGCAATTATAAATTCAAATCCTTATGACACCAGGGTCACAAACAAGATTTAAACAAGCTCTCTCTCTCTTTTTTTTTTTTTGTACCAGGGATTGAACCCAGGGGCACTCCACCCCTGAGCCGCATCCCCAGTCCTTTTTTTATTTTTGAGACAGGGTCTCCCTAAATTGCTGAGACTGCTTTGAACTCCAAATTCTCCTGCCTCCACCTCCCAAGCCACTGGGATTACAGGCGCACACCACAATTCCCAATTAAATAAGCTCTATGAGCCTGGGTGTTCTCATGTGGAATATGGAGATGATACCAACACAAGAGAGCTCATTTAAATCTTGTTTGTGACCCTGGTGTCATAAGGATTTGAAAATAACTAAAAAATATGTGTGCATCAGCCCAGGGCAGTGTGATACTCAAAGTAGTGGCTAAACAAACCCTTCTTCGCTTTGGAGGGGGCAGTAGCTCACTGGTTATGAGGGGGAATCACAGACCTGGGTGTCTGAAAGGCAGTAAGTGGTCCTTCACATACCCAGTCTACTTACCATGTACCAGTCGCTGTTCCTGAACCATTAGGGACCTGTATTCTCCCCACTTCTCATACAGGGTTTGCTGCAAGACATACCAAGCCCCGCTGTCAGGAGCTAGCACTAAACCAGCAGGACGTGGGTGTAGACAGGGGTCAGGGAGTAGACTGAAGAAACCTTAAGGTTAAAGGAGGGTCAGCGGCTGAATGAACCAGTAAAACGGTGGGGCCTGAAGGGCAGGGGCTTGGGAAGTGGACAGTGGAGGTTGGTCGAACTCTGGGTTCCTCACCTTCAGGTACTGCAACCGAGCTTCCAGTTCTGCCTTCCGAATTGATGTCCCATACAGAGTTTCCAGTCTGAGGAGTTAGAGAACCAAAGTCTGAGTGAGCCCACAGGCTGAGGAAACATGAGAGGTTAAGCCTAGGCACCAGGCATCCCACCTGTGCATACCTGAGAATGTTACCAGAAGCCTTGATGATGTCAACAATCTCCCGATGCCGGATGCCTTCCACATTCAGGCCATTGACACTGGCGATGGTGTCCCCTGCCAGGCAGAGAGGTGGTCAGCATCTGCTCCACAGGGCATGAGGGAAGAATTCTAGTCCTCTACCTTGGCCAGAAAGGAGAGGAGCGATACCCCTGAGGAATACTCCTGAACTCCTTCCCCCGAATCCTTCACTGTTTTGGGGAGACCTCTTGGGTGTCTTTTCTACCTCATCCAAAACACATAATCACAAAACCACAGCCATTCCTCCCTATGCAGTGACCATAAGCTTATCCAGATCTAGCACCCCAGCTTAGGTGCCTGCGACCTCAGAAGGACTAGACTCTCACATACCCAACACCCTTTAGAAACTCTGTGCCCAAAGGCTGAGCCCTTCCAGGGCCCTGGGCTGCCCCTTGAGCTGGTTATTTCTGTTTAGCCTGATGTGAGACTCAGTTAAGACAGGAAAGAATAAGTAGCATCCAGAATAAGTAGATAAAAATGAAGTAGAAATAAATAAATAAATAAAATAGATTAAAAAAATAGTAAAGGCAGGGGGATGAGATTGTGGCTTAGCGGTAGAGTACTTGCCTAGCAAGTGCGGGGCCCTGGGTTTGATCCTCAGCACCACATAAAAATAAATAAACAAAATAAAGGTATTTGTCCATCTTCTCTCTCTCTCTCCCCCACCCCCACTGGAAACCAACACTGGACCCAAGGTGAGTCTCCAGTGCCACTGCAGAGGTTCTGACCCCAGGCAGGGCAGGCCAGCATCTCTAAGCTCCTTTCCCATCTGTAAAAAAGGAGTATGGAACCCTGCTGGAACTGCCTCAGGGATGATCAGGAGGAAGAATGGGTGGGAAACTACTTTGCAAAGTTATCCAAGGGTTGCTAGTAAGTAAACAATGAGGTAAGGGACAAAAATTTTGACAGAATGGAGCAGGTGAAGTCAATTCATGCAGTCCCAGGCTGCCCCTTTCTGGGACTTGGGGATTCTGCCTGGATCTCAGGGGTCTTCTACCAGAGGCATCATTTTCTTGTTAGAGGACATGCTTAGGTGCCCCAGACTCGAGTCAGGTTGGGACAGGGTAGGCCCTGACCCCATGACAGGCAGACTCAGTGGAATGCTGCCTCTCCCCAGCTCCTGCCCATGCTGGATTGCCAGGCTGCCAGCAGGAAGCAGCTGGTAGCCCTGCAGCAACAGCCGCCACTTACCAGGCCCTGGCTCTGTGCCCAGGGAATCCCTCACCACACTGTGATGGGTGGACATGTTATTACCCCATTTTGCAGATGGGGCTGAACAAGATCACACAGTGAATGGTAAATTTTGCCTGGATCCTAAGCCTGGATTCTATTTTTGGTCTTCTCAAAATAGGAAGAGGAAGGAAGACTGATTTCAGGAGCGATTTCTCATCCCTTTCCTTGGGAGAAAGGTCATACCCACTCCCAGAGCCCAGTGTCCTGGGCTCAGGTCCCACCTGGTGTAAGTCCAGCCAGCTGGGCAGGGCTGGACTCATGAACTCGGCAGACAAAGGTCACCATCTCCACACGCTGCTCCTCTCGGTGGTGAAGGCCATAAGTCTGTAACAAACAAGGCCAGACAGATAGGTTCATGCATCCCTCAGACTGGCCTCCTGACTGTCAACCCTCTGTACACAGCTTTTCCCACCTGGATCTCAAAGCCGAAAGTCTGGTTATCCTCCTTCTCCAGAGTCAGAACTTTCCTGTGGGAGACATAGGAATCAAGACTGTTAAAATTTAAAGGATTGTAGCAGTCTTAGACCTCAGGTGTCCAAGGAGGCAGGAGTCTGGCCTAGAACATCTAGAAAAGACTCAACAGTCTCCAGTGACAGCTCACAGTCATCACAGATTTTTGGAATGTCCTTTCCAGACCTAAAGCAAATTGTCCCCATGGAGCGTCGGGGATGGAGGCACTGGCAATGGCTGGCCCCAGTGGGGCCAACTACGCTAGAAGGCTCCAGTCTTCTGGTGAGCTCCAAGTATCACTCACTGACAAGCTGAGGCCCCAGATTCGGCCCCAGCCTGGAGCCTCCTCCGGCTCCACAGAACTCAGGGGAAAGAACGGCCCCACCCCCAGAGGCCAGTCACGAGGCTCAGCACAGACCACAGCTGCTCCTCCCAGCTGCGGTGGGGCCAGCCCACCAGATGTGAGGGGCTGGGGGAGGGGAGCCTGAGGCCGCCCCTTCCCGCACTGAAGGCCTGCCCGCCGGACACAATGGTCTGGAGCCACTCCAGGTCCTGGCCTGCTGGGGGAGCCCAGAGTTTCCTCTGCCCATCCCCACCCCCTTCCTTCCCGCCAGCCAGAGGCAGAGTTCAAGCAGCCTCCTAAGGCCCCTTCAAGTCTGAGGACCTCAGAAAGGACCTAGAGAGCAGGCCCCTCAACTTCTAGGCTGACCTAGATATTTCCCTCAAAACTGCACTGCCGGCTCCCATCAGAGCCCTCACCCTGAAGGGCAGGTCCGTTGTTATCCACCCCCGCCCCCAATGTGTGTACTGGGGCAGGCCCAGGGGGTCTGGAAGTTCTGTGTCAGGCTTTCTGAGTTTCTGGAAGGACTGGTGAACTTAACTGCAAAGGGCCAGATGTTAAATATTTTAGGTTTTCTTTGTGAACCCCATACTGCCTCTGTTATATATGGTTGTTTTTATTTTTACAACACCTTAAAAATATAAAAATTAGCTGGTTAGTGCACGTCTATAATCCCAGTGACTAAGGAGGATGACGCAGGAGGACCACAAGTTCAAGGCCAGCCTTGGGAACTTAGACCCTGTCTCAAAATAAAAAATTGAAAGGGCAGGGGGTATAGCTCAGTGGTAAAGCATCCCTGGATTTAATCTCCAGTATCCTAAAAAAAATTGATTAATTTTTGAAAAATGAGTTGGGCACATGCCTGTAATTGTAGCTACTTGGGAGGCTGAAGCTGAAGGATCTCAAGTTTGAGGCCAACATGGGCAACTTAGTGAGACCCTGACTCAAAATTAAAAGGGCTGGAGGGTATAGCACAGTGATAGAGTGCTTGCCTAGCATGCATGAAGCCCGGGTTCAATTCCTAGTCCTGGAAAAAATGGTTTTATGGTACCAATGATTGAACCCATGGGCAATATCCCTAGCCCTTTTATTTTTTGAGACAGAGTCTTGCTAAGTTGCTTGGAGCCTTGCTAAATTGCTGAAGTTGGCTTTGAACTTGCAATCTTCCTGCCTCATCCTCCTAAATCTCTGGGATTATAGGCATGTACCACGGTGAGTGGCATGTTCTCTCTCTCTCTCTCTCTCCATATATATATGTATATATATAAAAAATATATATAGACAATTTTTATATTGGTCATGGGCCAAACAGGCCAATCTGACCAGTAGATCATAATTTGCTGGTCCATTTCAGAGAAATCAAGACTCAAATCAAGGATGGGTCATGGAGAGAGAAGGGAAACTATGGGCTCCCAGGCCCTGTGGTGAGTACCACACCTTAGGTCTTTCCTAAAAGGGATGTCACAGGCTGGAACCCCACTGGACTTGCTGGACCAGGCAGCTTCACGGAAGTCCTGGAGTCATGGCTTAGAACATTACCCCTACTTCCCCCACCCATCATCCAGATCTCACATCTCTCCAGGGAGGGGTAACTGGCAGGGACTGGGGGTGGGCTGAGGAGTACCTAATGATTCAAAAATGCCTCCTTTCTCTGCCACCCCTTCAGCCAGCCCACACCCACACCTGCCCCTCACTCCCAGCGGGAGAGCCATGCTGAAGAGTAAGAGAATGACTCCCCCAGGCTGGGCTGAGATGCTGTATCTGCTTCCCCCTGCCTACCACCCCAGCACTTCATTCTTTTGGACCATAGCAAGGGCTGGTGGGGGTGACTCACCGCTGCTGTTCAGGACTCTGGCTGAGATTCTTCCAGCGGAATCCTGAGCCCTAGGTGGGAAGACAGTAAAGACAGGTGAGAGGGGGATTGCCCTTGGGCAGATGCTGAGAACCTCATTCTGGGATGTCCCTCTAGTTCTGGACACAGCACCCCGTTTCTCATTGTTTGTCTGTCTCTTCCCAAATCCCCACCTGCTTTGTTCCTGGTATAATTATTTGCCACTACTGCAACTATTAATATCATTCCCAGGGTTTCCTTAACACCTGGGATTGCGGGGACACAACTGTCCTCCTTGGTTTCATATGCATAAACCCCTAGGTCTCCTGCTGGTTTCCAAGTTTGGGGCGGGGTCATGACTCTAGAAGGGTCTCCATCACTGTGGGGGAGGGGGTTCAGGTCTTTCAGAACACAAAAATTGAAGCAGGGGCTCTTCTTCAGTGGGATTCTAAGAAATAGAATAGGGCTCCCCTATCAAAGTACTCCAGGGAACCCAAGGCCAGTCTGGTCTCTATCTAATTTTTCAGCCAGACAGTGAGTGGCTTAGGAGAGCTCATGTAAGAAACTCAGGCTTGAAGAGCTGGCAATTCTAACCTGAACATGGCTGAGTGGGGGGCAGAAGTGCCAAGTCTCCTAGAATAAAGCCTGTTCCAGGGACCAGCTGTGGATCTCAGTTGCAGGTAGCCAGTGTGCCCAACTACACCTGGGTATCTTACTTTCTGGGACAAAAAACAAAACAAAACAAAACAAAAATTGAAGATGTCAAACTTGTCAGTAAGTCTCACTATACTTAAGAGGTTGTTCTGGGGTGAAGAGATGACAAAGTTGAAGATCCCTGCATCTTCAGAGTCCCTGATAAATTAAAGCAATCTCCCTCCCTAAAATTTTAGAAGATAAAAGCCCCATCTGGTTCCAGCCCTTTCTTCACGTGCCAAAACAGCCCAGGGCCTTCCGGGTCTGTGCTCTGGTTAACCCTGTCACCAAGCTGCCCCAAGACAAGGAAGAGAAGGGGGCTCTCTTTCTTCAGAACCAAAGATTAGCCTTATGGGTGGGGACAGTTCCCAAACGGGCCAACAAGGAAGAAGGACTGGGCAGCACAGAGAGACCCCTTTGTCTTTCATCCCGATTTTCATAAAATGCAAATTCTCAACAAGCTGTTCATTGTGTGGGGGGTGACGGGGGGTAGGAGAGGAGGAGGGGGACTACATGGGGAAAGGCCACCAGTCCCTTCTCCTTAACCTGGGTCTTGGATCTCTGCTTCTGAGCGCTCAGGTTCCCTTGAGCCAGAGGAAGGGCCTCACGGAGGGGGAGACGCAGAGGGCGGGCGAGGCCCGCATCCTTCCTGCCCCGCGGCGCCCCACGACCCCTCCCACCGCGTCCGGTCCGCCTGAAGTCCAGGGAGCGGTGCCCTGGCACCCCGCACACCAGACGCTTTAGCCCAGGAACCCCGGCACCCCCTCGGAAGGGTGTGCTCTCTGGGGTCCACGACGCCCCAAGCACTTGGGCAACGTGTGAACTCAGGCGACGCGGCCCCCGCCCCAGTCTCCTACTCCAGGGCTCTAGGACCCTCAACTTGTCTGGGGCGAGCAATGGGGCCCCATCCTCACCCCTCCGTCTGCAAGTAGAGAAGCCCGGACAAAGGGAGTCCTGGGGGCTTCGAGACACCTGGACACCAGGAGGCGGGACCCAGGGTGGGGGAGGCAGCAACCCCGAAGGAGGTAGTCGGAAAAAGGGGATGCTTGGGAGGAATCAGGGCAGGAGAGAAGGAGGAGATGGGGCGGCGGCGCGTGGGGAGTGGAGTTGAGAGCCAGCGAGACTGGGGGCGGCACTGAGGCGGGGGCCACAGAGCAGCGGGGGCCGCTAGTGGGGGGGGGGTTGAGCTTTCTGGAGAACAAGGGGAGTCGACCCAGGTCAGCGAGGTGGAAGGTGGAGGACTCAGTGGACCACTAGGAGAGAATGGTGTGGGGATCAGCTGAGCCCTGAGGAAGGTACACTGCTGGGTAATGAGGCTGGGGGCGCAGGGTTTGAAGGGGACGCACCTTTCGGCGGGGCAGTGTGCCCCCAGACACCGCCAGCGCGCGGTACAGCTCGGCAGGGTGATAGTCTTCCAGCGCCGCATACAGCTCGTCCCCGGTGGGTCCAGGGGTGGCGGCTGCATTAGGGGGGGCCGAGGCCGGGGTCGGGGCCGGAGCGGCGGGAGCGACTTCCGAGTCCGGAGTCCCACCGGCGGGGTCCGGGGCGGCCGCTGCCTCCTCTTTCTGCTGCAGCTTTCTGAGTCGGCGGAGGGTCATGGCTCCGGCGCTGGGCGCCCCTCGGAAGCGGCGGTCGCTCCACTCCGAGGCGCAGGCGGCGGCTGGGGGATGCCAGCCGAACCGGCCGCGTGTGGCCTGCCTTTATAGGCTCGGAGAGGTAGGGAGGCGTCCTTCAGAGGCCTCGCCCCCGGTGCGGTAGGCTCCTCCCCCGGCGGGGGCGGCTGCCCTGGAGCCCCGCCCACAGCATCCGACAGCTGGCGATACTGGGGAAACTTGGAGACCAGAGCGCTCAACGCTGGGGGAAAACTAGCAGCCGCGGGGAGGCGGAGCCAGGGCATCCCCGGCGGGGCCCTTAGTACCTTGAGTGGGGTCTGTGAGGAGGTATTGCACGAGATTTGAAATTTGGGAATGGATGGCTTTAATGATTATGGAGAGATGGCACAGTAGGAGGTCTCTGTAAGAACTTTTGGGGGAAGATTTGGCGAAATCCAGGGTCTTCTAGGCCAGGGGAGAGAGGCGGTGAGGCTGTGCATGGGGAGTAACGTGGTCCCCAGAGAAGGAGGGAGTAGACATCCTTGTACCAACTGCGCAGAAGCCCTCAAGGAGTGAGAGGACCCAGAATTTCTCCTTTTCAAGTTATCTCAGAAGTGCTGAAACAGGCTGTCTCCCATTCCCATGTTTAAGGCGAAAGGGAAAATATGAAAAACCTGAAAGCAGGAGACTTAATTATGAGGTCCCTCCTTGGTGGTCTCTGCTAGATAAACCTGTCCTCAGCTCGGGATGCTGGAGCCCAGGTGCCGCTTTCCCAGTAGACAGATCCTTACCGTAATGTTGACTCATGGGGCTGGGAATGTGCCCAAGCAGAGTGGGGGCTCAGAGTTGGATGGAGCGGTGCTCCGTCATTCTCGGTCCCAGCCTTAGGGACCATCCCCCAGGCTGTTTGTTACCATGATTGCCAGGCCCTAGAAGAGCAGGGATGGCCCAGCTTAAGTCTCTGTCGTCAGTAGTGCCCAAATAAGAAGTGAGAGGAGGAAGTGGAAGGCCCTTATGTGGTGTCTATAGAGTGGCTAGCTACCACAGGGCGTCAGCACAAGCTGGAGACTCCATATCAGGACATTGGCCACTACACGCAGACCAGGGCTGCGTATCCCTCTCAGTCCCCTCCTCCTCTAGTCGGAGCATTTACCATGTGCTCTGCCCACCATTTTGTGTGCTTTTGCATACTTGTATTAACCCATTTGGTTCTCTTAACAACCCTAAGAAACAGGTACCATTATCATCCCTTACAGATGAGAGGACCGAGGCCCAGAGGGGTAAGTAACTAGGCCTAGCTTGCTCAGTGGCAGAGCTGATTCAAACCCAGGCAGCCTTGCCCGGTGCATGGGCACACACCTGTAATCCCAGCGACTAGGGAGGCTGAGACAGGAGGATCAGAAGTTTAAGGTCAGCTTAGGAAAATTAGCAAGACTCTGTCTCAAAAAAAAAAAAAGGACTGGGGGATACAGCTCAGTGGTACAGCACCCCTGGTTCAACCCCTAGTACCACTAACCCAGGTAACCTGGTTCCAGAGCTGCAAGCTAGCCACCCTGTGGTGCTGCTGTCTTCCTCAGTTCTCATGTTTAAGTCCTGCTCCTTGCCAAGGACTGGTTCACGTTGGGGTTACAGAGGCTCTTGGTCTGGTAAGCAGTGGCATATTGTACAGGTGCTGTGTTAGACCCATGACCTGAAGGGTGAAAGGGATAGAGGGCCATGTTCACTTGGGAAGACCAGGAAAATCTTTCTGCCTCTGCCTGTCCCACTTCACTTAACTTGCTTCTTTACCTTTTCTCCTTAATTGTGCCCACCCCCATGCCCTGGACCCTTAGCCTCCCAGGAGATGTGGTTGGGAGGGGGTTTTACTCCAGCCCTCAGTGATTGCACAAGTCTGGATGGCAGGATGCTTTTTGGGCAGGGGTGGCTTGGGGGCTGTGAATCAAGAACTAGCTCCCTTAGTGCTTTTCTTTCCCTCCTCCCCTCTCCCGCCTTAGACCACCAAGTGGCCATCAGCTGAGGGGCCGAGGGGGTGTCGGTGGGGAAACATGGGACTGTATTGTGAGCATTAGCACAGATGGACCCCTGGACCGTCTGTTGCCTCCTCCTGACAGACGGCATCTGTGGTGAGGAGGGAGGAGGTGTGAAGGCTGCAGGCTCCATGGTTTCTATTGTATTCATCTCAGTACTTATCCCTGAAGGGATCCTCAAACGGGCTACTTGTGCAACCTCTTCTGTGAAGAAACCACTCCACCTATCCCAGCAGGTAACTGAACAGATGCCTCCCTGTCTCTACCTGGAGACAAGGACATTGCAGGTGCCAAATAGCACCTGCTGCCTGGTCTCCAGTCCTCTTTGAGACTGATGTGGAGGCAGAGACTCCCCTCAATTTATGCAGGTCAGGCTGTCTCTCTGCTTACAAGTGAGAGAACACCATCAGAGAACTGAAGTTCACATCTTAATTTCTTCCTCCTGCCAGGCACAAAGAAAGCCCTAGAGAACCCCAGAGTAAGAGTGAACTCAGGAATTGCAATTTCTGGGTAGCTATTGCATGATTTCCTCAAATCCTTGAATTTCAGAGACAGAAAGGCCGTTACGGTCTGGAAGGGATCTGGTGTGGTCCAAGCCCTTATTTAACAGAGGCGGGGGGTGGGGGGTGGGAAGAGACTGTAGCAAAACAGCCACTAGAACCCAGGACTCCTGACTCAGACTGCTCATTCAGCCACTGGAAGCTCTCCAAGAGCTCAGGGATCCGTGCCTGCCTCCTCTTCCCGGTCTCCCCCATTTCTCCAGGAAGAAGCCGGGACCCAGGGATGCCGTACTATGGAGTGGTGATGCCCTCTGGTGGTCATGAGCTTTATGGTGGAAAAATCTTCAAACCAGACTCCACCTGGACTCCCAGCCATGTTTAAGGATCCCTTATGGCCCTGTACCTCCTAGGAGGATCTGTGCATAGCTGGTCACTGAGTTCAGGAATTTCACACCTATCACAGTGAGGAAATGTTTTTGTGATAAAAGCTACTGCTGCCCAAGCTGCAGGTGCAATTCACTGGGAAGGAAAAAAAAAATCACAGCATTACACAGACAGCAATAGCCTTCGCTACAGTGTCTATGAGAGCCCTAAAGCTTTGCCTTCCCTAACTTTCCATAACTTCCTCCTAAGCCGGAGCCTCTTGTCTAGCATCTGTTCTTCTCATCCTATCTGCAGCCCTTTCAAGTTTGGGGGTGGGAGAAGCATTCTGCACACTGCCTGAGACTTCATATACTAGGATGCCTCCCCCCCTTTTCCTCCTACTTGCAGCCTTCTTGCAAGTACCCCATCACTTCAGCTCTTCAGACATCTGTGCTCAAACTATATCTTATTCCAAAGCAAGTCTGTCTTTCATATTGAGTTCCCAGGTTTTTTGGACTCAGCTGGTTGTTAATCCGTCAGCTTCTTGGGATGGGGCTTGATCTGGCAAAGGAGCTTAGACAACAGGGGCTAATGGACAAAGCCTAGATAACACCCCTTCTCTTCAGAACAAGCCCTTGCTCAGACACACCCTCAAGTCACCTGCCCCCCCCCCCCCAAGGGTGAATAAAAACAGCTAGCTGACTTTGGCCCCTCCGACATCCCTGAGCACTTGAGGCTAGAGCTGTGGAAGCTCAGACCCCCTCTGGAGTCTGAGGCTCTAGCAGTCATTTCAGGACCCAGAACTGGCAGAGATGAATAGTGGGCCAGAAGACACCTCTCTGGGTGCTGCTGCTGTTTCTGAGTTGGGAAGACAGGAGGGAGAAGTCCTGGGACTCAGCTGGCTGCTGGTCCATCAGGAATGAGGGGCTGGGCTCCCAATTGCATAGCATTGCCTCTTGCAGGTGGCATGGAACAGTTGGTGGGCAGCTGGCCAGGAAAGGAGTGGTTGTTTTTCTTAATGGCTCCTACTGGCCAACACTCTCCATGGGAAAATTTACTGTGTTGGTGCTGGAGGAATCCCCGCTAGGGAGAGAGTTCAGGAGCAGGAGTGACCTAGCCCAGTGACCCAATTCTAGGGGGGTTGGGAGCAGAGGCCAGTTGGATGAGGCAGTTCCTTTGTGTTGATATGGATAGCGTCTTGGTCCAGTCTCTCCCAGAAGCCAAGGACTATCTTGCCTCTTGGATGTTGGGGGGCAGGGTATCTCTGGCTTGAATAAGTTAGAGGCAGAAGAAAGGGAAGCTAACCACAGTTTTCTTTACAGCACCACTCCTGAGTCATGGAGTATATATTTTCTTACCTTCTTGCACAGGGACACCTAGTGAAGACAGAAAATGATAGCTCTTAGGGCCCCAGGTTCTTTCCTCTTGGCAAACACACCTGCTCAGTTGCTTAATCCCTAGTTTCCTCTCCCAGGGGAAGAGCACAATGCAGGCCAACTTCCCCAACCCCCAAATTCACATGCAAGACTGCCAGGCCCAAACTCTCCCTGCTTTACTTCTGATCATGCCCAAACCTGTGTGTCCTCCCCGCTGTCTCTCCCTGTCTCCCAGCTCTTCCTGCTCTACCAGCTGCCATGGCCTCTCAAAGTCAGTACTGTGATCTTCTCAAAAGACAAACACGACCATATTGTGTGTCCCCCTCTAACACCAAATTCATGTTGGAACCTAATATCTGATGATTGTGTCCCCCCCAAAATTTATGGTGCCCCCCACTCATATTGAAACCTAATACCCAAGGTGACAGTGTTAAGAGGTAGGGTCATTAGGAGGTGAGTGCTCTTATAAAAGAGGCTTTAGGGAGCCTCTCTGCTACCACATGGTAAGGCACCATCAGTGTGAACAGGCCCTCCTCACTGGACACCAAATCTGATTGCACCTTGATCTTGGCCTCTAGAACGGTAAGCAGTAAAGTTTGTTTATAAATTATCTCATCTAAGGGTATTTTTCTTTTGTGGTATTGGGGATTGAACTCAGTGCATTCTAGGCAAGCACTCTACCACTGAGCTACATACTCAGCCCTTCTTTATTTTTATTTTGAGACAGGGTCTTTCTAAATTGCCTAAACTGGCCTTGGATTTATAATC